GTGTATGCTGTTCAGTGTCAGGAGGGCTGTGATCAGTCTTACATCGGGGAAACAAAACAGCCACTGGCCAAAAGGATGGACCAGCACAGAAGATCAACATCATCAGGCCAGGACTCTGCGGTCTACACTCATCTCCAGGCCAGCGGTCACTCTTTCAGGGATGAAGATGTTCACATCCTGGACAGAGAGGAACAATGGTTTGAGAGAGGAGTAAAGGAGGCCATCTTTGTGAAAAGAAATCGACCATCATTAAACAGGGGTGGAGGCCTCCGGGTTCAACTGTCCCCCTCTTACAATGCTGTGATTGCTAGTATCACTCAGCCCTCTGTGAGTAGTAAACAGCCATCAGTGTGCTAATGATCCATTGTTAGGCTGATGGTCCTTCTTGAGCATGTGATCAGCTGGTTTTGGTTGTCAGCAGCAAAACTGGTTGATCCACTCTGAGAAGGTGCTATTTAAGAGACTGAGCTGAAAACAGCACCTCAGACTGAAGAAGTCTCTCGGATGAGAGAAGAAACGTTTCTACATTTTTTGTTGATTTGCTTTGTTTTGTTTTTTTGAATATCCAGAGGACCAGATTTAACTTTTTTAGATTTTTCTACCTGGATTATTGAGCATGCATCAGGATACGCAGACTAAAGTGTTGACGTTGAGCGCAGACCCACATTTCAGAATTGCATATCAGTAGAAACCTCCTGGACTAAACTCCTCCACCTTCAGTTCCCGAACCGAGCCTCCTGGATCTCCTGAGTGGAGCTCAGGTGGTTGTCCAGCTCCTGCATCACAGCCCGTCTGCCGATCTGGTCGTTCCTCCTCTTCTCCAGGACCACGTCCTCCAGGCACTGGAACTCCAGGACGTGGCTCTTCTTCTCGGAGAAGACCAGTTTTAACTTGTACGGCTGCTTTCCGATCCGGATCTCGCCGCCGATCTTAAACTCCCTCCTGCCGAACCGGCACCAGGCGGCGAAGCACTCGGAGTTCCTCCAGAGCAGGTCCCGGTCCGCGGAGCCCACCTGGTCCAGCGCGTTGCGCACCACCACCTCCGGCGGCAGCGCCCGGTGGTACCGGTACAGGTCGTTGACGATCCGGCCCCTCCGGCCCTGACTCACGTCCGTCAGGAAGTTGTTCCTCACCTCGGCCCGGTGCAGGTGGACCACCTGAAAGTCCCCCACATAAACGGCCCAGTGCGGGTACTGTCCTGTGGCCACGAACTCCAGCAGGTCTCCCGGTCTGGACTTGGCCAGGAGGCTCTCCGGGGACAGGGTCGCGGCTCGGGCGCGCCTCTCGTACACGCACTCGTCCCGGTAGTAGATCACGCACTCCGGCTCGTCCTGCGGGTCGAAGGGTTTCTCCTCGTGGTCCACAGCCGACCTGTCCGGGGCTGGGAGGTCCGGCTCGTCCCGGTCGTCCTGGTCGTCGTCGGCGGAGAAGATGTAGGAGACCCCGATCCGCGCGCCGTCATCCGGGTCCAAGCAGTTCGGCTCCGACGTCGGAACTTCGGCGTAACTTAACCGGGTCAGCTTGTCCACCTGGTTCCCCATGGAGCCGGAGGACCAGGGTCCACCTGCGCGCGCGTCTCAGACTAAATCCACAAGGATCCGACTGCGCGCCAGTAATCCATGTCCTCCAGAGGATCACCTGCGGGACACACAGGACACCTGTCACGGTGCGTTCACGGACATGAAAAACACTTCCCAGTTGGGCTCAACAGGTGTGACCTGCCTCACCTGTTGGCTCACTTTTCAGTTCAGCACGTGACTTCTCTTTCACCACCTCTCTGACCCACAGGATCCTGAGCTGGATGGTTCCGGGTCCTCCTGCAGTCCCCCGTCCTCACCTGGGTGAGACCACCCGGCAGTGGACTTGTTGCTCCCTGTGGTTTCTTCTGAAACTGTTGGAGGAAACTCATCCAGGACCCAATGAGCGCGAGGAGGAGTTCTCATTTAAAGAGACAGTACACCTTTTTCCACCACACAGACCCAGAGACTGAAAACTGTCTCCATGATCAGCAGGGGCGATTCTAGAATATGATCTTTAGGGGTGCCCAGCCCTCAGTGCTGACAATTGGTGGGGGGTGGGGGGGGTGTCATCTCTTCAGATAAGTGGTGTTTCACTTAGGGACAAACTGAGGTCACCTACTGGTCAGCTGCTGATGAGCCTACTGGATTTATTAGGACATGGAGGATCTGACTAGAGCAAAAAAAAAAAAAGAATGGATTTTACTGGCCTGTTTAAGTGTTATCCATTCTTCCATTTTTATTCCTAATTTATTAAATATTTAGGTGAATCTAAGGTTTGAAAACTGAGTTTCCTTACAAAATCATGATTTCTTAAATTTTCATGGCTGCCGAGTTCAAATTTAGTAATTTTAACAATGAAAAATCACGATCAAGCATTCCTTAAAGGAATGCATATCGCCCGCCACCTTTTATGCCACAGCTTGAGTTGTAATTTTTACATGATTCTCACGAAATTCAGCATCAATCTTAGCTTGAGTATTTGTAAAATCGAGTGAAATGTAATTTTTTTTTTGTTTCTAAAACCGATTGGCTACGGTAAAACAGCCTTTTTATTGATAACATGTTTACACTGTCATCTTCAAATGAAATATTTATTCCTAACCCTCAGATTTTAATATCAAGTATGTTAAACCTTCTTAAATCCTTCCACCGTGTTAAAAACTGTGGGAGACAGACATGGGGCTGTTAACTGCAGACTTCATAGCTCACTAGTCCGGCTTGCCAACATGTCTGACCCAGAGTCCTCTGCGTGAACGATGCCAACAGGCCACAGAAAATCACCCACGTCTTGGAGCTGACCCCCCAGGAGGAGGTTCTGGTTTAAATGTTTCTTAATGTAACAGATGATGTCGCTCCTTATGCTCTGGCTGCCTTGGTTGGAGCGAGGGCTTCATCTCTTTCTCTCTTCAGCTAAACAGAACCTAACCACTCACAACATTATTGCTGGTTACGAAAACTGCAGCTCCACCAACAAATACAAGACAGACTGAAGAGGTCCTTCATCGTCCCCCATCATGGAGCGAAAAGGGGGACGTGGAAATATTGTCCGACCGACAGTTTGTTGGTCAATCCATGCATGCTGAGCTCGGTAACTTCAAAATAAGGGAGCTACCAACTTCCACTTTGGTGCGACTACATCTCGGCATAAGAAAGAGCACTACTAGAAATTGGGTTGCCAGGTCAAAATCCAAGATGGCCACCACCATACATACAGTATATGTAAATGTGTGTGAACCAGCCGCCCCGATCATTTGAGGACATTTTTCTTTCTAGTTCTTCTATTGCTTTTTTATATTTAAAGCCGTGGGTCTCGACCCTGGTCCGTGAGGAACACCATCCTTCATGTTGTAGTTGTTTCCCTGCTCCAACACCTGATTCAGTGATTTAATTACTTCAAGCTCTGTAGAAGACTGTTAATCACCCTTTCTCTCAAATCAGGTGTCAAAGCAGGGAAACAATTAAAACATGCAGGATGGTCTTCCTAAAGGACCAGGGCTGGGAATCACTGGCTTACAAATAGTTTCTTCAAACGATCGGGGTGGCCGAAGATTATTCTAGTGGCCGAGGCCCTCACTGACACAGCCGAACATAAAATACTCCCTGGAAATGACGAACATGCACTTTCTGCATCCCGTCCCGTCGTTACACCTGCAGGTCAAATGGAACCAGATCAAGTAGCTTTCAAAGAATGATTATTATCAGTCTAACTTAAATATAATGAATTAAGAAGCTTTACAATATAAAGTAGAATGAATCAAACCATTTATTGCCTTTTAATTTCACCATGTGGAAATCCTCTCAATGCCACGTGATGCCCTTTGTACAGAAAAGCCAGATTGTTTTTGAGAAACTTCTGACGTAAGGATTTTAAATGATTAGCTTATAGTTTCCTCTCAACACAGCCGATGTTTGTCTTTAGAACAACAGCTAAAACAGCTAAAAGCTTCCCACAGAGCAGTTTATGGCTCATTCATGAATCCTGCTTCTGTTCCTGGAATCAAAGAGTCTTAATTAACAAACAGAACTATGATATTAAATGAATGTGATGGTTTCTTATGTCAGAGTACAAAGGATCCAGGAAGCAGAGGTGGTGCTGGTTCTACCCGATGATCCAGGTCGTTTGTTGCGATGTGGAAACGCTGCCCTCTGACGGTTCTGATAACTTACTGCATCACTGCAGAAAAACATCTCAAACATGGTCAAGAAATCAGGTGTCAGTCACTTAAAGCTTTTATTTACAATCAATAACACGCTTTAGTGAAAATATAAACATGTCAAAACTCATGAAAGTCCAGAAACATGTTCCTCAGGTAGAAAACTGCACAAAGACGCACAAACCAGCAGCATCTTCTGCCTTTAAACAAACAACGGCTTTATTATGAACACTTCTAATAAAAGGTGTAGAAGACTAAGTCTTGTTTTGTCTCTTGTGGCTCTGGATCCTTCTCCTCAGAATCTGGTCCAGAATGAGGTCGGACTTGGTCACGTTGGTGTTTCCACAGCCCACAACAGGACAGCTGGAGAAGACAGCCACAAAAGAACAGAACCGTCAGACAAGAACACTTTCTGTACATTTATTACTGAAACGTAGCAACATCTGTTTTTATAAAGTCCACCCGCCTTCAATTACAAGGTCTTGTGCATCAGGACACAATAACGAGCTAAATTTAAATGTGTGTATGAAAAACTAAGTCTACCCTAAACAAGACAGGTGCTGCTGATCAAATGTATTAATTACCTGATCATCATCAAGGTGATCACCAAGTTTCATGAACACCAAACTGAGCACAAGCCCAGCAGCTGTCCTACAACACAATGGCTAAAAAAGAACTCACAGTGATGCAGTGGTCCAGTCAAAGTCCAGACCTCAGCCTGGTTGTAATGAGACAACTACCTAAAGTTACTGCTGCTAAAGATGTTTCGACACATTACTGAGTCGTGAGGTGGACTTTGTTTTTCACGGTTCCACTTGGCTTCGTCGTCGTTTTCAAAATAACGAGCGGTACGATGACGTCCCCGTCGCTGAGGGATGGAACAGTGAATGTTTGTAGTTTTGGAGACGAGTGTTGTTCTGGACTGGAATTGAACAGAGAATGAAGAAAACCTTGGGTGTTTTTGGTGCAAGACGTTCTAGTGTGTAGGAGCGACACTGTGGAAGAACAGAGGGAGGATTATTTTCTTGTCTGAGTGACGGCTCCTGGAGAGTCACTTTATTCACCGCTAGGGGCAATGGTGGCCTTGGCTACCATACATTCATCGTTGGCCACTCCAGTCATTTGAGGAAACCAAACTTTGAAGCCATATAAAAACTAGAAAGCATCGTTTCCTCAAACGATCAGGGTGGGCAGGTTACAGATGGTGGTGGCCATCTTGGATTTTGACGGCGCAGCCCAATTTTCCAAAGGAACCTTTGTTACGCAGAGATGTAGCTACACACCAAAGTCAGCAGCTCACTTACTCTTCAAGTTCTCATGCTCACAACATGCACAGATGGATGGATGGACGGACGGACGGAGGGTATTTCAAATCCCCCGTTCTGTAGAATCTTTTGTGTTTTGGTACACCTGAGGCTACATTTGAATCATTTTAGAACCTGCTGAAGACCAGATCTTTTTACTCATGTCTTGATATGTAAAGCCCTGGAACCTGAAGAGGGTGGACTTTTGTTTCTCCTGTGACCGTTTCGTTTTAAAGCACCTGAATAATTAGAAAAAGCATTTGGACCTCCAGAACGAGTCAGTTTACAACAACCATAGGAACGATGAAACGGTCCACAACTTCATCAGCGTTCCTCCAGGATTATCTACATTTAATCTGACTCCAGCAGCAAAGCAGGACAAATAAAAAAGATAATTAGTTGAAGTAATTAGGGCAGCCTGCAGCCATGTTGACTCCTTTAAAACCGGTTTCCAGGCGTTCTTCTTACCAGCACTTCTTCTTCTGGCTGTGTCTTTTTCTAATCAGATTCAGGATTGCTTCTTCATCGTAGTGGTGGTTGCACTTCTTGTTCTTCACTGGGTTCACCATCTCCACCTGGGATATGCAGACAGACTACATTCAGATGCTCAGTTCTTGCTAAAGGTTACATAAACATGTGGAAGTGGGAATGTTCGAGAAGAATGCCGAAGCTTGAAGCGACACAAAGAGAGAGAGTTCAGGAGGGCTCTACCTGTGTGAGCGGGCAGGTGAAGTTTACTTGGCTCTGGGTGATGGCGATGTCTTCATCCAGCTCCTCCATGTTCTCCTCCGACTCCTCGGCTAAAAACACAACGTGCACATATGGTATTTCCGAACCACATCGACATCGATAAACTAGAACTCCAACAAGGAATTATTTTCACAGAATGTGTCAGAGGTGACGGACAACACTAAAACTTGTTTTTATATAAAGAGTCAGCATGTACTAATAATAATAATAATGCATTTTATTTGTCAGCGCCTTTCAAAACACCCAAGGACACTTCACAGCATTAAAAACACAGTATTAAACAATATAAAATAACTATTAAAAACACTAAATCAAAAAGAAAATAACATTTAAAATAACAGTTAAAGTGAAAAGGCTAGCTTGAACAGATGAGTTTTGATTTGAAGGTCAGAAGGCAGTCAATGTTACGGACGTCCGGGGGAAGAGCGTTCCAGAGCTGGGGAGCAGAGTGAGAAAAGGCTCTGTGTCCCACGGTGCTGAGGCGGACGACAGGCACGTTAAGGTGGACGGAAGTGGAAGAACGAAGGGAGCGTGAATGGGTGGTAATGTGCAGGAGATCTAACAGGTAAGGAGGGGCGAGGTTGTGGATGGCCTCGAAAGTGAACAAGATTTTAAATTGAATTCTGAATGTGACTGGAAGCCAGTGAAGTTGCTGTAAAACTGGGGTGATGTGGTGAAATGAGGGGGTTTTGGTGACGATGCGGGCAGCTGAATTTTGAACCATTTGAAGCTTACGGATTAATTTGTGAGGCAGACCAAAGAGGAGAGAGTTACAGTAATCGATTCGAGAAATGACCAGACTGTGGACCAGGATGGAAGCAGAGTGTGGAGAGAGGGATGGACGGAGACGGTTGATATTTCGAAGGTGGAGGTATGCAGACCGGGTAATACTATTGATGTGAGAGTGGAAAGAGAGAGTGCTGTCAAGAATGACACCCAGACTCTTGACGTGAGGGGAGGGAGAAACCAAGGAGTTGTCGATGGTGAGTGAGAAACTGTTAACTTTAGATAAGGTGGATTTAGTGCCAATGAGTAGAAACTCTGTTTTATCACTGTTTAATGCACGTAACGTCAGTCGTCATGTGACGTCAGTCGTCAGCGTGACGTCAGTCGTCACGTGACGTCAGTCGTCAGCGTGACGTCAGTCGTCAGCGTGACGTCAGTCGTCACGTGACGTCAGTCGTCAGCGTGACGTCAGTCGTCAGCGTGACGTCAGTCGTCAGCGTGACGTCAGTCGTCACGTGACGTCAGTCGTCAGCGTGACGTCAGTCGTCAGCGTGACGTCAGTCGTCAGCGTGACGTCAGTCGTCACGTGACGTCAGT